CTGCCATTTTTTGTCACTGGACTGAGGATGTTTTAGGGAAACATGAAGCTGTCGCTCAGACTCTGAATTTGGGCAGTTCTTAATGCATGAATGGGCTCTTTGATCCCATAACCAATCCCCAGCACAGAAAACCAGTGCAAGGCCATAAAAGCCATATGATTGAACTCTTTTTCAACTTGAAACAGCCCGAGCAACAAGTCAGGCCTGTGTTGCAGAAATGCAAAGCTTTTGGTCATAATTTGCAAGAGGGTAGCCAGGAGACAATCATACTTTGGTTCTCAAAGGAAGCCTGTAAGTCTAAGTTCATGATGCTAGGAATTAGCCACGCATGTCTCTGTTGACAACCATGGGTGCATAATATGCTTGTGGCATCTTACAACCCCCCCTTTGCAGGTTCTTTCCCCCTTTCAGGAGGAAGGGGGGGTTCTTCTGGGGGCAGGACCCTGCCTCTGGGATCACGAAGGCAGAGCTACAGCCATTTCCTGAAGTGGCAGAACCTCTCCCCAAATCCCAAGTCAACTGCTTGGCCTCCAACAGGAAGGCAAGGCTCCCTTGGTGCTCTGTGAAAGAGCTGGGGGGTGGAATGAGGAGCTGGAGAGGGAAGGAAGGAACCAAAAAGGCTTTAAGCCCCATTAAGCTGCCTGGTCTTCCCTCCTTCCCTTGCTGAGGCACTGTGTCATCTTGAGCTATTCTTTTAATGGCTCTCTCAGATATTAAAGACATCTCCTCTGAGGAGAGCAGCACTGAGCCTCACTGAACCCGTTCCTTTTCACCACACCGTAGAAGAACCTGTTATGTACTGAGTTGAATAGGATCCATAAGGCAGCAATCTGATTGGTCCTAGAACAATAGGATTCAGAATGCAGCAGTCTGATTGGTCCACAGGAGCCACTCAATCAGCTCCAGGTGGAAGTGAATCCGCAGCCTGATTGGCCTACAGGTGAATCCCGGAATTAGCCAATCACGTGGGGCCCATTGTGTAAATAATGTATATAAAGCAGACATTCTGGGGGAACTTCCATTCCTCCTCGCTACTATGAGCTGAATAAGGTAAAGGTAAAGGTACCCCTGCCCGTACGGGCCAGTCTTGACAGACTCTAGGGTTGTGTGCCCATCTCACTCAAGAGGCCGGGGGCCAGCGCTGTCCGGAGACACTTCCGGGTCACGTGGCCAGCGTGACATCGCTGCTCTGGCGAGCCAGAGCCGCACACGGAAACGCCGTTTACCTTCCTGCTAGTAAGCGGTCCCTATTTATCTACTTGCACTTTGACGTGCTTTCGAACTGCTAGGTTGGCAGGCACTGGGACCGAGCAACGGGAGCGCACCCAGCCGCAGGGATTCGAACCGCCGACCTTTCGATCGGCAAGCCCTAGGCGCTGAGGCTTTTACCCACAGCGCCACCCGCGTCCCCTACAGCGCCACCCGCGTCCCCTATGAGCTGAATAAAGAGCATGAAATCCACACTCGACTCCGACTATATTTCAAACCTCTCCCTTCAGTTTACACAACTTGGGCGAAGGATTCTCTGAACAGGGATGGGAAATCACTGTAAGCCCAAGGGATGCATTTCTGTTCTGAGGGCCACAGGCCAGTGCTAGGCAAAGGCCAGAGGCAAAAGTCAGCAGGAAAATGGTAAGCTAGTTTCTGCGCACTCTCTTACGCCCCTCTCTGTCCATCTAGGCAGGTAAGAGCCATTGCCAGAGTTCCACAGAAGCCCATTCTAGGAGTGTGGGAAGCAAGGCTACTGAAAGGTGTGGCCTGGGGAAAAGAGGCGTGACTGTGACCTGAGGAGGGTCCCAGGAGCCAGATGGAGAGTCCTCCTTTCCCCCCCACATTTCGGCGGTGTCTGAGGCTCCTCACCCCTGCTATAGAATATACTACTTTCTGAATGAGCCATTACGGTGATACCTTGGGTTAAGAACTTAATTCGTTCTGGAGGTCCATTCTTAACCTGAAACTGCTGTTAACCTGAGGTACCACTTTAGGTGATGGGGCCTCCCACTGCCGCCGCACCACCAGAGCATAATTTCTCTTCTCATCCTGAGGTAAAGTTCTTAAGCCGAGGTATTACTTCTGGGTTAGTGGAGTCTGTAAACTGAAGCGTATGTAACCTAAAGCGTCTGTAACCCGAGGTACCACTGTACAGATTAACCAATACAGTGGTACCTCGGGTTACATACGCTTTAGGTTACATACGCTTCAGTTTACAGACTCCACTAACCCAGAAATAATACCTCGGGTTAAGAACTTTGCTTCAGGATGAGAACAGAAATCGCACGGGGGCGATGTGGTAGCAGCGGGAGGCCCCATTAACTAAAGTGGTGCTTCAGGCTAAGAACAGTTTCAGGTTAAGAACAGACTTCTGGAACGAATTAATACGTAACCAGAGGTACCACTGTACTTTCATGTCAACTCATCTTGCGTCAAGCTTTATAATTCAAGGGAGCAAGTTCACACATTCACCTACAAGCTGTCAAGCGATGAGAGAAATTGACATACGTGCATTGTGTCTACAAGTATTTTGAGGGGCTTTGAAAAAATAAGCATAAGAGCATAAATAGAAGCCTGCTGGAACAGACCCGAAACCCATCTAGTCTGGTATCCTGTTCCCTTCCTACCCAACCACATGCCCATGCCTGCAAGCAGGGCCTAAGTGCAGCAGTGCTCTCCCTGCTTGTGTGTCCCAGTCGCTAGTATTCGGATGAATACAGAATTGCTTTTTGGGCAATTCTGTCCTAACCTGGAATTGGGGGGGGATTACTGGACGTGTGTTCTTCAGGAAATGACTGTGTCCTGTTGTGGATGGCTAGGCCTCATGGGTGTTGAGTGAAGTTATCAGCAGATTGGCTGGAACCACGAGGAAGGAAAGGTGGTGGCAGCAGGTGGTGGCAGTCAGTCACAGAGACTCAGGAGCAGGTGTTGGTTTTTTTTGGCAGCAGGGATCAGGCAGAGTCTGGGTCAAAGTTAGGTTAGGCAGATATTCTCCATTCCATTTGGTAAACCTTACACAGATCTTACACCACACACATATTACGTGTGTGCGTGCGTGTGCATGTTTGTGTACACATGTATCTGACACACACACACACACACACACACACACACACACACACACACAGTTTCTATTCATTCCATTTATTTCCTCCCCTTTTTTCTGGCAATATACATATTTCAGTCAGCATTAAACTGCTCATCTTGGCTCTGTTTAAAAGAAAGAGATCTTGATTTCAGCTTACACACACAATCATTTTCTAAAAGTAATCTTGTGAGATTTTAAGGATGGTAAAGGACTTTTTTTTAAACACACACACACACAGTTAAATTGTATGTGTGCACTGCCGTAAGAGCAATCTTTGCAAGTTTCAGAAATGCAGCTCAGAAAGATGGCACAAAGCATATGTGCTGGTGCTGCTCCTCAACAAGTACTAAGCAAATGCCGAATTGCCACATTATGTTTGAAATGTCTAAAGAGTGTTATTTGTAAGATTACCCAGTTAAAATTTGTTTGTTTGTTTGTTAAAACCTGGATATGCCAGAACCATGGACAGCTCCAAGTCAGCAAAACAAGTTGCTCTGAAGTTGATGCTGTTATATTTTGATACCCACCTTAATTGTTGTTATTTAGTCCTTTTGCGAAGGCATGTCTATTTCTTGACACAGCTGTTCATACCATCTTTGATGTACAAAAGACTGTGAGGTTTTGGGGCAGCTGGTTTGATGGTTTCTCACAAGGCTCAGGATGCCCACTGAGATATCTGAGCTACTGGTTATTTTATTTATTTACCTTATTTATGTCCTGTTTTTCAGTCTCACAGCAGGCCACCAAGAGGGCTGACAATTAGAAAATATTAGTAAACATAATGTGATTTTTTCAAATGGCAGTGGTGACTGCTAAATGCTCCGGAGGGACAGTGGTGTCAAATGATGTCAAACTCATCCCTGGATAATTACAGGGTCTGGGTACTAATGGGGCTATCATTTTCCCCAAGGACTGTTTCCCATAAACAAATTAGGTCTTCATTGAATTTTGTGGACTTCCAGATCTAGTTGTTGCTTGGCAGGAATCAAATTAACCAAGGCTGTTCATATGAATATTGCGTATCTTGAACTACAATTGTTAACAATCTTGTGTATTTTGAAAACTGGACTGCTCTAATTTTGTATCGTACTTTTGAAGACTTGATTCCAGCTTTGCCTATGAGGTTCGGGGGTTTCAGTTCTTATGGGGCAAGCTCCTTTTTTGTGTTTTGTTGGTAACATCCTCTGGTTTGGTGGCTGTGACTGATGGCTCTACAAAGCCACTTCTAAGAATTCAATCCTAAAACATAGTACAAGGGAGCACGCCCTGCTCTTTTCTCTGACTTTGCAAAAGCTTGAGCAGTTGAGGAAGGAGAACACCAAACAAGTTAGTATTTAGAGTACAGAAACATCTAAAAAACAGAACTTTGCAGGGACTATTCTACATGGGAAGCTGTGTGAAGAGGCTCATACATGGTTGCAGATATTTAATCACGCCGGCACAACAGACTTCTTCCAAACAGTCAGGATACTGATAAGGTCAAGTTTGCAGCAACCACTTGTGGAGGCACTCCACACTGATAGTTCTTCATACAGAACAGCAGAACACTACAATTATTGCATGTAAATCATGCCATATCTTAAAAAAAAAGAATAGAGGCAATCTGATACAAAAAGGCACAGAGAAGCTTTTGTGAACAAGAACATTCCAGAGGAGCTTTGTGCAAGCTTGTTAGCATTTATATAGTGCTTTTGAGTATTTCTACATTATCTCAGTCATTGTTTCAACCGGTCTGCAATGTAGCTCTGTAGTTTTATTCTTGTGTTGCAAATGGGGAGCTGGGACAGAAAGGCTTGCCTAAGATGACTTGAGGCAGATAGACTTCTATAGACTTCTCACCCATAGGTCAGTTTCTTCAGCCATTTCACTCCACTAACTATTACGAAAGTAATGCTTTTGTTGTTGTTGTTGTTGTTTTAAGATCCAGGCCTGTCATTACTATGGACATCTCCATTTTCCTGCCAGCTTCCATTGACATCACAGCTCCCCAGTGCCACGATGACTTGCAGCCGGTGAACTGCCTAAACGTCACAGCCTGCTTTAGTTTCAGAGGCAAACACGTTCCAGGAACGATAGGTAAACTATTATCTTGGCATCCATTGCTGTTTATAATTTCTAAACCGATGTTTGTAAAATGTTATTTGTGTTGTTTTGTCCTCATAAGTTTACAAACTAGACCTGTCAGTCCCATTGCAGCTCTCCCTCCATGTTTCTCCACCCTCTGATGTTCGCTCGCTCTCCCTTCTTCCTTCATCCAGTCTTCATGTAACCATGTTATTGTAAATGTAGACATTAATTTTGCTTTCAGCAGACATGCGTACACGGTATTTTCTTTATTGTATTTAGTGCCGTGGTGCCACAAAGCACTTCACAGATTCCACTTCAACTCATGTCAACTTGTAGACACTCTGCTTTGCCGTAAATACCTTCCATGCTTCCTGCTTCACCTCATGATTCTTCCAAATCCAATGCACAGCCCTAGCATACACTGCAACATTTTGTTGTAGGGTCCACTTGTTGCTTCATATAGCATGTTCTAAGTATTTCACATACGTTATGTCAGTAATCCTTACAGCAACTTTGAGAGGTCAGTATAATTACAAAACTGCAGATGCAAGAGTGAGACTCAATGGCTTACCTAAGGCTGCATAACGAGTTCATGGAAAAGATGAGATTGGAACTGAGGATTTCATGGCCGCCAGTTTATTCTCTTAGCCGCTATGCTACAATAGCTTTGAGTTAATGCAAAGACTAAGATCAACATGGATGAAGGTTTTTGTGGGTTTTTAAAGTAGCTAGAGCCTCCCCTCCCCATGTTACCAAGAGCTTTTTCTGGTAAATGTCTGAGGAATTACTTGCGTGTGATGAATTTTTTTTGTATTGAAAACCGGAAGACCAGTAGATATATTCCAGCTCTTCTTAAGAGACCCCATAAAACCAAAGGCACTCTTGGAACAAGCCTGGATTTATGCCTTGTGTTTTTTAATGTTCGCCTGAAATCTTCCTTTAAGGTTGTGTGAAAATGGCATATCTTCCTCTTAACTTGTTAGTTTAAACATAGATCATTCTATTTAAAAGTTGTTTTTTTATAGTGCTGCAAGTATCTTGAATGTTTTAGTGGTTGCTTGTATCTGTTTAGTTCTGCAGCATATTTTGTGAATTACGGTACAAATTCCATGTGTTTTATGGGAACATGTTGAAGGCTAAAATCTTAGCCAGTCTATTTATAGCTGAGATGGGCGTACATTAACAAGCAGTCAGGCAAACAATAGCATGTTGCTATGCAGTGTGTCCTATTGACTTCTCTTTCAGAGAGAACCAGATACAGTGACTTTTGTAGCATTGCCGGCTCTATATAACAGGTGGGCTAAAATTAGATATAGATATCAGTGAGGCTGAATGAATGTGTGGGTGCTTGAGGAACTCATTCTTCACAGATTCTGGTTTGAACTGATCTGATCTTCACCTGCCAGCGTAACGTAAAAGTTTAGTCATATTTTAAGCCAAGTTTTTCAATAAAGTCTAGGTACAGTGGTACCTTGGGTTACGTTACCTTTGGGTAATGTAATTTCGAGTTATGAACGCAGCAAACCCGGAAGTGTATATTTCTGGGTTTTGCCATGCGCACATGCGCAGAAGTGGCACCTTCGGATATTGACTTTTCAGGGTAAGTGCGAATCCCTGGGACAAATTAAGTTCATATCCGGAGGGTCCACTGTACTTGTTTGACATCCATTTTACCAATATGACAGGGCAGCTGAGCTTGAAGTATAGAAAAGTCATATTGCCCGTGTGATTATTCTTGAGGGGATGCTCCACATCACCAGCTGCATCCCTGAGCCACATGAACACATTTTCATTTGTGTGCCACCTTTCCATAGTCCAAACCATGCTCAAGGTGGCTTAAAACATGAAAGAAATACATTGTTAGCATCCGTCTGTCTCGAGAGACAATGGAGTGCGCTTCCGGGGGTGAAGTCAAACTGCTGTGTTTTGTTTAGTCGTTTAGTCGTGTCCGACTCTTCGTGACCCCATGGACCAGAGCACGCCAGGCACCTCTGTCCTCCACTGCCTCCCGCAGTTTGGTCAAACTCATGCTGGTAACCTCGAAAACACTATCCAGCCATCTCGTCCTCTGTCTCCCCCTTCTCCTTGTGCCCTCCATCTTTCCCAGCATCAGTGTCTTCTCCAGGGAGTCTTCTCTTCTCATGAGGTGGCCAAAGTACTGGAGCCTCAGCTTCAGGATCTGTCCTTCCAGTGAGCACTCAGGGCTGATTTCCTTAAGAATGGATGCGTTTGATCTTCTTGCAGTCCATGGGACTCTCAAGAGTCTTCTCCAGCACCATAATTCAAAAGCATCAATTCTTCGGCCATCAGCCTTCTTTATGGTCCAGCTCTCACTTCCATACATCACTACTGGGAAAACCATGGCTTTAACTATACGGACCTTTGTTGGCAAGGTGACGTCTCTACTTCTCAAGATGCTGTCTAGGCCTGTCATTGCCCTTCTCCCTAGAAGCAGGCGTCTTTTAATTTCGTGGCTGCTGTCACCTGCTGTGTTAGCAGCACCAAAGTGACATTCCTGTATGGAGGTCCTGGGCTGCCCAGACAACAAGAGCCCACCTCTCAGCCTCACTGATGTGGACCAAGGAGGCGTACAAGGTGCCATCCAACATCCTTACGGATCTCACTCCAGACTTGTGTAGGGTTCACTCCTTAGCCTTTTCTTCTCCTGATGATATCTTGCAAGAAAACGGAGGTTTAGGATCAGAGTTTTCCTTCTCTTAGATGGTCTTCCTTCCCAGGTTGATGAGCCCCATCTACCCCTCACTTCCCTCTACATGGAAACCACCATCTTGATCATCGGACCAGCTATTGGTCTCGTCTGCTCAGTCTGCCGGAGCTTGTCTTTGCGTGCAGGGGAATCAAAAAAGTAAAAATGAAATGAAATAGTATAATGCAGGAAGAAAAAGGGATTGGAAGGGAGGAGAGGGAAAGCAAGCTGATGCACTAGTTCTACTAGAATAGTTACGTAGTTCTGTCTTCGCAGATTCTGGCTGTCTTGGAGAGCAACCCTATCCTAAAAGTACACCCCTTGTCTTCCATTGCACAGTTCTTCCCACAGACAGCTGATACAATGGCAATTGGAATCTTCCTGTTTATGTGCTGTGAATCGAAATTGTAGACGGTCTTTCAGCCTTGACAGTTCTCATGGCTGTTTATAATGATGAACATGAATGAAAACAACTCAAAACTAAAACAGAATCACCGTATTTTTCGCTCTATAAGACACACTTTTTCCCTCCTGAAAAGTAAGGGAAAATGTGTGTTCGTCTTATGGAGCGAATGCAGGCTGCGCAGCTATCCCAGAAGCCAGAACAGCAAGAGGGATCTCTGCACAGTGATCCCTCTCGCTGTTCTAGCTTCTGGCTTAGCTGTGCGAAGCCTCTTCAGGGCAGCGGGATGAAGGCTCCCCCTGCCCTGAAGAGGCTTTGTGTGGCTATATGTGTGTGTCTGTATTCCACTTACTTATACTTACACACACACACACACACACACACAGTCAGCATATGCAACAGAACATGTCTCTGGGATTCAGAATATTTTTTTTCTTGTTTTCATCCTCCAAAAACTAGGTGCGTCTTATGGTCTGGTGTGTCTTATAGAGCGAAAAATACGGTAGTTGCAGCAGCAGTATGTGGAACTATGTGTGTGTTGTTGCTACATCCTTCTCCCCCCACCCTAGAAGTTCCACCTTCTGCTGCTCCCCTGCACTTCAAGGCACTTTGGTTCAGTCTCTGGCTGGCCCCCATAGTCCATATTAAAGTCTTGCTTGAGAAGCCAAGCAGAAAGTGGCAATTAATGATCTCAGAGCAGGTTAGACTATGAAACGCAATAAACAATGAAATGATGGAGCGCATTAAGCAAACATTTCAAAACTACAATGAAAACCACATACATTTAATAGCAAAGCAGATAAACACTTGGTTAATTTGCGGTTGGCCTCAACTGTATCAGACCTCCGAGAAGGCCTGAGCAGAGAGGTTGATACCACAAATAAGCAGTGTTGGCACCAGTTGTACCTCAGAAGGGAGGCTATTCTACAGCCAGGGCGGGGTGGCCAACACAGAAAAGGCAAGCAGTCTTATGCCTGAATTTTAGCCTCTAAACAAGAAGATCAGGTGAGCTTGCATGTATCTGTTGCTCGCATGTTCTGCTGCTTGCGTGAACAGCAATCTCTAAAAGACTTCTGCTTACAGCATTGGGTGAAGCGACTCTATTTTTACCATTCTGAAAAAGAGCTATTTATGAGCTGAAACTCACTTAGACACAAGCCCCTCAGAGAGCAGCACACAAAAGGGGTGATCTGAGTCAGATTCTAACTACCAATCTAGTGACATCTGCAAGCTGGGGTTTTTGTTTTAAAAAAGTTAGGCTTGCTGTTTCAGTTTTCCACTTCTGACATCATTGGTTGTGTCTGCCAAAAGGCAAAGTGGAGAAAGATGTGAAATATACTACTCGAGATTGTAAAATGTCAGCTGTTGCCGAGAGGTGGCACGGTCACAGCTGGATGTAGATTGCTCATGGACAGTTTTCTGTTACGTCTGAGAGTTAGTGTGCTCAATGCGACTATGATGTGCAAGGCGCTTTAAATTGCTCCGTCGGCTGGCTGTTGCCACAACTCAGTGAGACGTTTGGTGTATAGACACTCCCCCTGCAGACTGGATGGTTTATATATTTGAAGAATTTTTACATCACGCCTCAGTTGAAAAAGGCTCTCGGTTTGCAATGATCAGTAGTCACACAGCCCCTTCCCTAAAAGTTGTGACACACAAGGGGAAAGGGATGGGGATGGAGGAGGAAAGAAGCAATCTCAGGCACTAGTTCTTCAAGCAGGGATGGGGATCATGTGACCCTTCAGATGTGCTTGAACTCCAGTTCCCATCAGCCCCTGGCAGGGATGATGGGAGCTTGAGTTCAACAACATTCGGAAGTCATTCCTGGTCGAAACAGGAGCAGCTGTTGGGGTAGTGGTGTTTTCCTGGCTTCCTGGCATGGGTGTCACTGCAGATTACTGGGAGGAAGAAGAGGCAGGGTGTGGAGGTTGGTGTGGGCACCGCTTGCAGAGCCATTCTTGTAGGAGTAATGGAGATGACAGGAGGTTGAATGCAGGTGAGCTGTGCAGAAGCACACTGGCAAGCATGCTCCAAGCAAGCTGCCAACTAGCTCTGCTGAGGCTCCTTTTATTAGCAGAAGTCAACAATTGGAAACAGTAGTGAAACCACCCTGAACTCAACGTATTTCCATCTAAGCACATTTCCAGCATTAGCAAATACATGTGTCAGCAGGTGTTTTGCCAGAGTAGAGCATGCTCTGGTTATCTCTCTCTTGGACTACTGCAATGCGCTCTATGTGGGGCTACCTTTGAAGGTGACCCAGAAACTACAACTAATCCAGAATGCGGCAGCTAGACTCGTAACTGGGAGCGGCTGCCGATACCATGTAACACCGGTCTTGAAAGACCTACATTGGCTCCCAGTACGTTTCCGAGCACAATTCAAAGTGTTGGTGCCTAAGCAGCCTCGGCCCAGTATACCCGAAGGAGTATATCTGAAGGAGCGTCTCTACCTCCATCGTTCTGCCTGGGCACTGAGGTCCAGCGCTGAGGGCCTTCTGGCAGTTCCCTCACTGTGAGAAGTGAGGTTACAGGGAACCAGGCAGAGGGCCTTTTCGGTAGTGGCACCCGCCCTGTGGAACGCCCTCCCACCAGATATCAAAGAGAAAAATAACTACCAAACTTTTAATAATAATAATAATAATAATAATAATAATAATAATAATAATAATTTATTATTTGTTCCCCAGCCACTCTGGGCGGCTTCCAACAAAGATAAAAAATACACTAAAATGTCACATATTAAAAACTTCCCTGAACAGGGCTGCCTTCAGATGTCTTCTGAATGTCAGGTAGTTGTTTATCGCTTTGACATCTGATGGGAGGGCGTTCCACAGGACGGGCGCCACTACCGAGAAGGCCCTCTGCCTGGTTCCCTGTAACTTGGCCTCTCGCAGTGAGGGAACCGCCAGAAGGCCCTCGGAGCTGGACCTCAGTGTCCGGGCAGAACGATGGGGGTGGAGACGCTCCTTCAGATATACTGGACCAAGGCCGTTTAGGGCTTTAAAGGTCAGCACCAACACTTTGAATTGTGCTCGGAAACTTTTAGAAGACATCTGAAGGCAGCCCTGTTTAGGGCAGCTTTTAATGTTTAATAGGTTATTGTATTTTAGTGTTTTGTTGAAAGCCGCCCAGAGTGGCTGGTGAAACCGAGCCAGATGGGCGGGGTATAAATAATAAATTATTATTCTTTCCCTGAAAGTTTTTCCCGATACTTGATTACATCTGCGTCCCCGGTCTTGCTTCAGCCAAGCGTTAGCAAACAAATTGTGAGAGGACAAAAAGTCAGGGGGAAAACCCTGTTTTCTAGCCAAGAAGGTCAGGGAAAGCAGGTATAACGCTCCTGGACATACTGTTGCATGTCTGGTGCGAGGTTTGCCTTTGCAATGCGGAGCGTTACCTCCACACATTCTGGCACTCTCAACCATGCATTTGCACCACAGCGACCTTCCCACCTCCTCACACCTCTCCCTCTTTCCAAGCTTCAGTTACTTCCATGCTCAGAAGGCCTTCTCTACTGGCTGCTTCTAGGTCTAAAGGGTCTCAGCTGAGTTGACGATTATTTCTGCAATTCTTGATCTTGGTCTCTTAATAGCTGCTTCAGTTTTCCTCTTGATAGAATATTTTTTTCATGCTTTGCTTTGATTGGAAACAAACCAGATGTGTGGCACACTTAATTTTCATGCCTCTAAATAATCTGATATGCAGCCAAAATATGTAATAAGCCATTTAAAAGGCACAGGAGTCGGCTCTTACTGTCGCATGCACAATATGCAATTTGGTTGTGTGGTTCTTAGTAATCTGTAGCATCTGTACTTTCAATTTTTACATCAACCTTTTTATCTTGATGGGATGTGCCATCAAAGTACCAGATTGTACACTGTTAAGTGCAGTTATCATAAATGCAGGGAATGCTGGTTTGCAGCAGAGGAAGTTTCCTATTGGAGTGAGGCTCGTGGATGTTAATGAACATTATGCAATAATGGTGTTAACTTTAGCTTATCACTTGAGCAAGGCAACCTTGGCAGATGACTTACTGTACTAACCTTTGATGACAGCCCTGACTGTAAACGTTTAGGGTGCCGGTTAGCAAAATTATGAGTAACTAGTGTTGAAATTTGAGGGAACCGGTTGTGTCGAAACTATACTGTTGACACACGGTAGTTTACCAAAGTTAAAAGATGCACTTCTTTCCTTTAACAGACTTTTCACTATAGCAGGCTGGCAGAATTTGAGATCCAGCAACTTGAATGTAGCCCTCTACCAAGTATTGCAGAATGCTGAGTGCTTGACATACTTTTGTATCCTTAAGTGGGCTGCAAAATCAGGTTTATGGCTCTGTTGCTTACATAGGCTGGTGGGTTGCATTTAAGTCATTGGGTCACAAGTAGCATAAGCTTACTTTTTTACTCTTTCTTTTTCCTTTTCTCCTCCTGTGATGAGGCTGCATTTTAATATTTTAATGTTTCAATATTTTAATGTTGTATTTTAATCTTGTTTTTAAGTTGTATTCATTCAACTTGTTTTTATTATTGCTTGTTAGCCGCCCTGAGCCCGGCCTTGGCTGGGGAGGGCGGGGTATAAATATTATTATTATTATTATTACTCTCAAACAGTGTTTTCCAAACTTGAGTCTCCAGCTGTTTTTGGACTACAACTCCCACCATCCTTAGTTAACAGGACCAGTGGTCAGGGATGATGGGAATTGTAGTTCAAAAACAGCTGGAAAACACTGCTCTGGAGCCTTGATGTCTTTATTTGAACATGCACTTGTTAAGAACCCTTAAGAGCCTGCTGGATCACGCCAATGGCTTATCAGTGCCCAGCATCCTGTTCTCACCTGATGCCTGTGGAGAACCTGCAAGCAGGACTCGAGTGCGAGAGCCCCCTTCCCTACTTTGGTTTCCAGCAAGTGGTGTTCAGAAGCATTCCTGCCTCTGACCCCAGAGACAGAGAATGGTCATCATGTCTGATAGTATTGCTAGTCTTATGCTCCATGGAATTTGTTCAATTGTCTTTAAAAGCCACCCAGTGCTGTTGCAGTTAAGGACCTGTTGCTGAATGGCAGAGGTCAGCGTGGTGCAATCCTAAAACAAACCAAAAGACATATACCTCTGGATATGTAATGTCCTCATGTTAATTTTTCTTTGAAAATAATTTTTATTACATTTTCCATTCCCCCCAATTACATCATAACATGTATCATAATTCACTAATCCCAAATTGTCCCTTCCCTCCCCCACCTGGACTTCCCTCAACCTCCTTTTCTAGTTTGTTTTCACACATTATCAAATCCTGCTTATTTGCTTTCCATTCATTTTTTATATTTAATCTTACAATTTATATAAATTTTATTATTTGTAAATGTTTACTCAAAACCTACTAAAGAGTCCAATTCTTTGCATTGTTTCTGTAGATCAGCAGAAAATGGTTCCCAATCTTCTTTAAAGGATTTTTTTTGTGTCCTTATTTCGTAGTCTGTCAGTTAGTTTTGCCATTTCGGCATATTCTGTAAGTTTTTCTTGCCATTCTTTCGTTGGTATTTTATCGCTTTTCCATTTTTCTTTTTTAGGATTGAACTGTAACCTGACGGCAGATGTGGCAAAGAAGGAAAAGGGCCACCCCATCAGGGTTTACTTTGTTTCTTCTGGAGAAGCAGTGGGCCAGATCACAGAGCAGTTCCAGCTGTCCTATATGCAGCAGAAGTGCAAACAGTACCTAGCCTATGTGAAGGTCAGTCCATTTCCCCTATATTATTTATCAGCTGAACCTTCTTGTCTTTGCAGTTGTTGGATCAAGTTAGTCTGCATGTGATAATTCAGTTCACCAGGGCCGGTCCTACCGTTGGGGGATGGCAGAAAAGCGATGGAGGACAGAACTGTTTGTGACACAAAGCTTGCCCCATCACTCCTAAGCTAGCCTGCAATGAAGGAGGCTGTCAATGTCGCCAGTATTGGAAATAAGATTCAACCCTGGTCAGCATGGAATATGTGAGGGGGAGAGTTAATGCAGGCAGCAAAATGTCCTTGGCCCTCATCACTAAAATGTTTCCGGTTACCTGGGAGTAAGCCCTACTAAACTTGCTGGACACACTTCCAAGTAGGATTGCCTGCGTTGTAAAAGGGCCTCTTTTTTAATGGAAAGACTTGGGGCATTTTATATACGGTTATTGAATGCATACAACAAATGTTGGAAAGAAAGAGTGTCTCCAACTGATGCTCCACCCTGAGGAAAGACGTCCAGATCTCCCCTGAAAATGTAGAATTAGCAGAAGAAAAAAAGTCTGGGTTTCCTGCAACAACCAAGTAACAATTGGTTCATTTCCGTCTAGCAAATGCATTATCTCAAAAGACCCTGAACTAGTCCCTTTTCCCATGTCTGTAAATAGATACTTGTCTCTGCCGTGGCGTTGGTTATTCTTGTTGCTTTCCTTTCTCAAGTACACTGGCTTTAATTTGCTTAGCTTTATTTGTAATAAGACTCCAACGCACAATTGTTTGACTCCAGTAAGGAGTTGATGATGACATTGCAAAACGGCTAATTCTGTCAGGAAACTGCTCTTGTCCCTAGAGGAGAATCCATCCACTCACTTATCAGCTTTCCCCCCATGATTTTGTTAGAGACCACCCACGTCTGTCCTAATAAGCTTCTTTGCATACGGAACATTACTGTTCCAAGAAAACTTTAAGCAGGCATGCAAATATGCATGACTTGGTATTCCTCTTTGGTATTGCTATGAGTTTGAGGAGTGGCATTAAGCCGTGTGCCAGATCCCTCTAATCCCCGGATCCAGCAAGTGTTAAAAGCTAATCAAGCCTTATAATTCCTAGCCTAGCCAAGCTAGTTTCCTGGGGGATTAAGGAGCTCGGTGGGAGACGGGTTGGAGCCCCCTCCCTCAATAGACAAAGCCAGAGTTGAAGGCAGAGTTTGCAGTGATGGTGAGCTGCAGAGTCAGAGCAACGTTTGATTTCTCTTTGGGAGAAACAAGACCCTTTTGGGTTGTTGATGCTGTGAAGCCCTCCATCGTAGGCTCAGGTTGTATATATGTGTAACTAAACTGTACATTGCGAAGACAGCACAATCTCCCCTTGCCTCATTCCCAAAGGAGACACAAACCCTGAGTAAGCGCTTGGAACCTGTGGAATCTAGCACTGCTCGGAGATGGGGGTGGTGTGTAACTGCAACAATATTGTTTTCAATTATAGTTCCTTGCTCAGCTACTATGTGCATCAACGGAGTTTGCTTTGATCAAAAGCATTCCTGGACTGTAGGTCAGTTCATCTAAACGTCTTAACAAAACGTATTTCCTGCTTGTTCTTGTTGTAGAGGTATTTCCTTGTTAGGGAAACTCTCAATAGGAAGAGCATGTCCCTCAAAAACAACCCCCACTTTTTGTACCATGGCCATTTTTTCCTAGATAATTATTTGGAGTGTGATATGCTTCAAGGAGATGAACAATTGCCTGCTGAAGTCTGTTGCAAATTGCAGCTGCTTAGATAATTAAAGGCAAAAAGGGCAACGTTCAATGTTATTTTGGAGAAGCGAGAGAAATGGGAAGCTGGACAGTAGGAGTGCAGCTTTCTAGATATTGTGGGACTCCAACCCCCATCAGCCCTAGCCAGCATGGCCAATGGCCAGGAGTGATGGGAATTGTAGTCCAGATACATCTAACGGTCCACAGGTTCCCCACCCTGGTCATTCAGAGTGCTGATTTTAATTTCCTAGCTCTACAAATTGCAGGAATGTTCATTTGCTTGTACTGTGAAGGATGGGAAGTGATAGGAACGAAGGTCCTGGACAGCCTGTGCTCCAGTGGGAGGAAGCAGTATTGACTGTTCAATGTTTGAAATATGGAAGAGCCTTGAAAACAGAAGAAGGCTGGGTGAAGGGGTCATGATTACTTAGGAGATATATATGGTAAAGAGGTCAGGGAGAGAAACATTGCTCAATTAACTGCCACAAACAGTTCGGTGTCCTGTAACGTGTTGTAAGAGATTGCCTTCATAATTTTACATGTGTTCCAAAACCTCATCTACTCTCTTTGTTGTAACACTGTCAACATGAAACAGCCTTCTTTTAAAAATAGCTATTTATTTTCTTTCTGCTGTGACTTCTTCTAATATACGTACCTTACTTTCCCTTTCTAAAAATATGCATTTGGACTACATACAGCCAACAGGGTAGATCATAATGGAAAAGATTATGCGGATTGTGCTCTTAAAACAACAGACTGGGCCCAAAGAGCCGTGAATGAGCTTCTGGTCATTCACTGTGAATTTTTCAGGCCTAGGCCACTTTACTCTTTGGGGAGATAGCTTCCTGTTTTGGTAAGACTGTTTACGCTGAGGAGAAGGGGTTGAAAAGCTGGCTTGTGTGCTTTGGCTTGCATGGGAGTCAGCCAGTAAATGGAGTTAATGTTATCAGTCCCCAGTCCTGGCTTAGTGTGAAAAAGAGCCTGCCAAAATGTACTCATTTCCTTGAAGCATTTTACCCCCTCTCTTAAGAAAGAAATGCTTCTGGAGTAGGCTTTAGAAACAATACCCTCAGGCTTAAAATCCAAGAGACATGGCACAAAAGGAAAAGGTATGGGGAAGAGAGGAGGGGATGGAAAGGCACAATCTTATAGCAACCAGCTGAAGTGGATACGTTCAGGGAGATGAGAGCTCAGTACAGCTTATTGCTCAAGAGAGCTGGTGCTTCTTTCTCTGTTCCCTGTACCTTGACGGAATGGAAAAATTAGTTGCTGACCAGGACAATAGGAAATTGAACTAGCAGGTTTTAGGCAGTTAGAAACAATATATAAATATGTTGAAGCCTATCACTACTTTTCTTAAGTTAACATTTGCCACCAATGTTGTTCTGTTAGCATCTGCTGGACAGTTCCTCATGCAATTGAGTTATCACTGGGAGAGAGGTTTCAAGCGGTATTCCACTACCACTAACTGCCTTAGCAAACAAACACTCCACCGAGTTTTCCCATTGCTTCTCCACAGTTTCCGCAGTAAAAACTCTGTTTTCTCAGCTTCCAGCGAAAGCCAGATGTTAGAGATGAGTGAGCAATATTACAAATGTATTGCAGTTTCAAAATACACCATGTTTCATTTCTTAAATATACAATGTGCTAATACATTCTGATGAAACAGGATATTGTTAAATTAAATGGGCCATGTATATTTTATAATGCAAGATCCTTTAATGTTTATTGGCTTAATTCTTTTCCTAGTTAATGGGATTTTGCAATCTGCAACAGCGCTCCCAAGCCACAGAGCTTTTGTAATATTTCTGCTTTAGGGTGGCTGCAGGAATTTCATTTCCAGAAAGACCCTTGATCATGAGCTTTCCATTTCCTAATGTTTTTATTATTCGGGTGTGCCATTGCTTGGTCTATTAAAAGGGACGCACCTCTTATCTATCTATGCATGTTTATTTATTTTTTATTGGAGAATATCAAACATCAATTTAAATTTTTTGGGAGAAAACAGGGATCAGTTTTAGAAAACAGGAATTGAGTCATTTGTTTTAATATCTGATTCTGCTTTTCTTTAGTAGTAGCCCTGCCTTTGTTGACTCACTTGTTTATTATTAAAGGAAATTAGAAAAAAATATAGTTCTGATTCCTATGTGTTCGGAATCTTGGCCATTCACAGAAGATCACAGGATTTCTGTTGGGATAGCTGCTGCTTGAGCAGATGTCTCTGGATGTAATAGAGGAATGGAGAACTGTGGCCAGCCTGATGTTTAACTCCAGTTCCCATCAGTCCCAGCTAGCATAGCCAGTTGTCAGGGATGATGGAATCTGTAGTCCAACAACACCTGAAAGGGACACAGACTCTCAGTTCCTGTGCTAGATCACATGGTGCTTTGTTGGGAAGAGGTTGCACACTGTACATTTGTGGTGCCGAAAACTTAAGCATCTCAACATGGAGGTTATAATCTGAGCCTAGAGTTTGGCTTAGTGAGCTACTATCAACAGTAGGAGCTTTGACCTCAGAACTCTCTTCAGAATTGGGGTATACAGCACCAACCCCTGGAGTTGGCAGATAATATGAAGCCTGGGGATTGGCTAGGTCTGATATAAATGCTGGGAGCTTGGCCAACAGAGTAGTACCTTCTGCACACTGCTGTTTAGATTCCAGCGTCCTCATCGCTAGCTGCTGGAATTCATGATGTCCAGGTCGAGAGTCAGGTACAGCTGCCATTCATCCTGGGCTGGTGCTGGCACAAAGCTCTGTCCAGGGCAAATAAATAGGTGGCTGTCCTTTTCATTCTGAGAGTACAGTTGGGCTCTTTTGGCATGATATCTGTTGCATAGTTGAACCTCCAACCATGATCCCACAAATGTTTATTGCGGCAAGCTAGTTGTACTGGTGTGCTAGGCTAGTTGTGCATGTAACTGGCACCACTCCTTTGAACCTCCTTTGAACCTCTGACTCTGGCCAGCATCTGTTGGTAGGTGCAGGCGAAAGACAAAGGATTAACTGCAACACACACAGATGTGTTTATGATTTTTCATGCCCAGTTGGCTTTGAGGGACACTCTGCCTTGTGCAGCCGACAAACTGGGTTGCGGGTACACGGAAAAGTTCTTGTGCATTTTGGGCAGAGGTGTTAAGTAATACAGGGATTGCCCAGATTCACTGCTTGACAGCATCTTGCAATGTGTTTGCCCAGCATGTGGATTCAAATGTGTCAGGTAAGATGGGACTACCACTTAAAAGGAATGGGTCTCCTTCC